GCCCGACATTTTTATGTGGGTTCTGAGGGTAAAGCCCAGGCCCCCATGCTTGCTGCAAATGGCAAAACACTTGCCAACTAAGCCATCTCTGCAGTCCATTATCACTTCTTTAAATAAGCATATACACTAATATTCCAGGGTCAGAGATGCGTACAGGGAACTCCTAAGAAGCGGGTACAATCCAGGTCTATTTGGCTTAACCTTTGCCCTTTCCTGCACGTCTCACATTTCCAGCCTGAGTTCTAAAACACACACACACACGCACGCACACACGCACACACACACATGTACACACACAAGCACACACATGTACACATATGCATGTGCATGTATGTACACATGTACACACATGCATGCACACATGCACACAAATGTACACACTCGCGCACACCAGTAAGTTTAAAAGAGAGGACTTTACTAAGCTGTAAATTACTTTTATTAATACGATAGCTCATCCTCCTGATTTTAAAAGCACTTGCAAAGGAAAATTCTATTGAGTGATTAAATAAATACTTGGAGAACAAATGGGTTTCTGCGAATTTGGCCACCATAATTTATAGCATACATTGGCTGGAGCTGTTCAGCACTGACAAATTCCAGGAAGTAATTGCATAAAATACTTGGAGAGGAAATTGCTTTATGCTTCCATGCTATTTCTGGAAATTAGCATCTTTGTAAAAATAAACCAGGAGTAATCACAATCGTAAACCCTGAACCGTGACTTCCAGGCTGCTAGGCTTGAGCTTTCGGACCATTAGGGACAGGGGAAGAACACGGACCGTTAATTTGCCCCTGTTATGAAACAATCACATACAACTGTGGCTCCCTTCTTCCCCTTGTATCTTCACCGTCCTGCTTTCTCTCGGAAGCATCCCATGTGGAGTTCAGATTTGCTGACGTGCAGTTTGTGGAGAAAACCTGCTTGTCGTTCCGTTTCCCTCCCAGAAACTATTACATAACCCGTGTTCTGTATCTCCACCCTCTCTGATGCCCATCAGCCCCTCAAACCTAGACATTTCCCAGGGCCAAGGTGTACTTCCAAGTTCTTGTCCCAAGCCTAATTCAAAACCTGAGAGGATTTTCAATTTTTGTATTTCTCTCAAGTCCACTTCTTCTCTTGCCATGTTCTGTCCCCCTCTAAGGGGTTCTTAAAGGTTCTGGCCTTCACCTCATCTTGTTGACAATTACCCCCTCCACCTCCACAGCCTAGGACTCACCACTATCATAGTGCCAGGAACCTCGCAGGCATCATCAGCTCCAGCGAGTCCCCAGTGAGTCCCCAGCAGCCCCATTGAGTCCTGATAGTGTTCCCTGCCACCTGCTCGATATTCCGAAGACTGTGCTGCCTAGTGCTTAGAATGCTCTTCCAGCTCCTCCCCACGGCAGCCACAAGCTCTCCCCGCTCCTCTTTACCCCCTAGCCCTTCCTGCCATGTTCCTACTCCTCACGTGCATGGTGCCCATGGAAACCCAGAGGAGGAAACAGATTGGAGAGGTATTTCTGAGCTGGCAACTCCTGGGGATCAATGGCTAGTTGACGGTGAACCAAGCGGGAAGGGGAGAGGAGAGAGCATGAATATGAACAGCTGGGGCTGAGGCGCTGGCTCGGTGAGTAGATGCTTCCTGTGCAAGCCTGAGGACCTACCTTCAGAGCCTCAGCCCCCACGAGAAGGGCTGGCTGCGGCAGGGCATGCTTACAATCCCAGTCCTGGGACTGTGGAGACAAGGGGCGATCCCTGGCCTGCCACTCTATCCAATCGGCAACCTCCAGATACCGTGGGAACCCTTTCTCCGAAAATAAAGGTGTAGAGAAATTGAAGGAGACACCTGATGTCAACCTCTGGACATACACACACACACACACACACACACACACACACACACACACACACAGCACCTACAGAGAGTGGGGGGAGAGAGAACAAAAACAAAACATGTATGTACATTTGTGCGTCTATAGTTCTATTAGTTATAACCTGAAATGGAGTTTGTATGAACTGAAATTCAGGTTCTGAAGACTCTGCCTCTACTTTATCCTGAGTCCCACTTATAGAAACGCTGGGACAGCCTCCTCGATCTTGACATCGTTACCTGCACGGTCAAGTCCTTTTGTCAGGTACAGAACACTGATGGGTTCCAGCAACCCAACATGGACATATTTTGGGAGCCACTATTCAGCCTACCGCACTTCCCAGAGGTTTCTATACCCTAGACCCAGTGGTTCCTTCGATATTATAATGATTAAAACAATAGAGGCTCGGGGTCGGGGAGCAGCTGTTGTCTTCACTAGGAAAATTAGGTGCAAAGCACCCAAAGCAATAGCAAGCTCCCAGAGCCTAATAGGCAGGAAGGGGAGGGAGGGTCCTCCTGCTTGAGTGGGAGGAGCCTTCGGCTTCACTTGGTCATGCCCCGCGCTTATCACAGTAACTTGTAGCCAGCAATTATAAGAGTTCACATTTTCCATGGTTTAAGAAGGAGAATCTCTTTTTTATTAATTAGCGGAAGCACCCTAGACAGCTGAAATACCCTTCCAGCTGAGCCTCACACATCTGTTCATCTCCTTGTAGCCTACTTAGGAGGCAAGGAGAGCAAAACTGAGGGCCACCTGCAGTCCCATCCCAACATTAAAATCATAATACAGATGGACAACTTCTTACAAAGCCCAAATGCGCCTTGTGGAAATACCAGAGACAGCCCTGTCCACTTCTGCAAGAACCTCCTCGGAGATCAGCCCCTACCTAGAACAGTTTGCAGCTTCTTGCCTCGGTTCATGTCTCTTGAGCGCCCCCTACAGCTCCATGGCCGAATATGCAGGCACAATGCTAATTTTAAACCTTTAACAAGCTGCCCATGTTAGAGTTGATATTCATTGCCCACATTGCTTTGTTCCCCATTTTCTATGTCGCCATGTATTGCCTCCTGAAAACAGCTCTAAGTGGTGGGCACTGCTGTAAGCCCCTCTCTACAAGTGTGGGGACAGGTGGGATGCACAGGTGAGTGACCCAGCCATGCATGCATTGGTGCTGTTGGGATTCCAGCAGTGGAGGGCATGGATGACTGAGACTCCTGCCCGAGAATTGTATGTCATGCCCTTCCATGTGCACTACACTGATCACGGAAACAATACTGCCACAGGCGACAGAGAAGGGAAAATCCAAAGAGGTCACTGAGAGATTCAAGCTGGGCAAATGCTCCCTTAGAACAGAAGGCAGCAGACAGGACTCAAAGCACACAGAGACAGTCTAGAGGGGAAAAGGATAAAGAGAAATACTCTGTCTTGGAGGCTCAGCCCCCTTGACCAGGAAGAAATATCTCTGAAGCCATGTATTCTATTTTAGATCCTTCGGTGAGATGGAAAAGTAAACCATATTGCTTTTATAACAACACTGCACCATGCTGTCCAGAAAATCCCTAAGCCATGCCTTTCAATCTTAACTTTTTTAAGATTTATTTTATTTTAAATTATGTGTGGGAGTGTGTGCGCACACATGATGCAGTTGCTCCTGGAAACCAGTAGAGGGCGTCAGACCCTCAAGAGCTGGTGGTTACCCCAGGTCCCAGGAACTGAACTCAGTTCTCTGCAAGGGCAGCAGAGATCCTGACCACTGAACTTCTCTCCATCCTCTTAGCCTTTGTTCTAACAAGATATATCTACTTAAAATATGGCGACAGAGGAGCACCATAAAATGGGATAAAGGGGATGATGTCCCTCACTAACCAGTTGTGTATAAGCCGCAGAATTGATGGAGTACGGAAAGGGGCTTAAAGACAGTAAATCCAAGAGAACACAGCAAGGCGCAGGGGCCTCTGCTTCATTTACCCCGGGTATAGATTTTCATCCATGCCTGCATGCTTGTTTAACAGACTTAAGCCCTTAAGTACTAGGCTGTCTGCTCAGACCATGAGGGCGCACAGACCACAGCCAGCAGTGAAACCCGCAGGGAAGCGTTGTCTTGTTCTAAGTCACATAAGACATTGCACGGGATTAGCAGCCACCCTCAGGACACGGTATTAACTGAAATGTTCCCCTGCATTTGGAGGTCAGGGCCCACACACTTTCTTGGCGGAATCTGGCTGCAAACATATTTGTCTGGATTTCACTGTGTTATAAACCAAAGGGCTGTAGAAGAAACCTGGATGTTCCAGCTATCCTGAAACAGAAGAAGGCCCAGCAATCCTGGGCTTGCATTCCAACTTAACAATGACAAACCGGAGGGAAGCGGTGACTCTTATGAAGGGAAACCGAGTTCTAGCTCTCGCCGTCTCTACCGCTCCCTGCTGTCTCTCTGGCAGTACCAGCTGCTCGCCTTTGAGTTTGCCAAGTAGACAAATGACTATGCAGTCTGTGAGCTCAGTTTCTCAGGCTGGGTGAAAAAGACAAGAGTCTAGAGCAGTTTCTCAACCTGTGGTTCGCGACCCTCGGGGGGGGGGGGTTGAATGACCCGTTCACAGTCGACTAAGACCACCGGAAAACACAGACACTTACATTACAATGCATAACAGTAGCAAAATTACAACTATGAAAGAGCAACGAAAGTCATTTTATGATCAGGGCTCACCACAACATGAGGAACTATATTAAAGGGTCACTGTGTTAGGAAAACTGAGAGCTGGTGGCCTAGAGAGAGGACCGCACAATTGTGGGCTGTGTTAACGGAATAAATCCAGAAGACTCACTTAGAGGCTAAGCTAGTGTAGATATCAGTCTCTTCCTGACCTCTAACCGTGTAGCCTCAACTGGGCTCATGCACACAGCCACCGTAGGCAGAAAAGATGGGGTTCACCCAAGCCCCAAGTCCCAATTTGTACATGGGTCCGCAGTGGTATCAAGTTCCTGGCCTTTGAATGATGCCTACAGAGACACCAACCACGACAGTACTTGTGTGAGATTTCCTGATGCGGTGTTAACACTGGTCCTATTAACATCTTACACGGTCTGGAATCATATTGCTATGCAAAGACAGGCACACCCCGCGTTCTCAGGGTCCCCCATCCCGTTACCTGCAGATGACCGGGGAACATAACGATCACCCACGCCAGCAGCCACCGGGATCCTGTCCAGGAAGTCATAGGGTCCAATATCTTAGAAGCCTCCCTCACTGCCTACAAAAAGAAAAACAGAGAAGACCTAATTTCCAACCAGCTCTGGCTCCAGAGATAGTCTGTGAGCTGAGAGACCAATCCCAGGACAGAGACCCTGAAGCCAGGCAGTGTCTCGGGAAGGTTTGTGTTGGCCCAGGATGGGACTGCCTGCTGCAGAATGGAGACGATATGGAGCTCCCTTTAGGATGAGCCCTCCAAGATTGGGGAGGAGGCAGGAACTGTCCCACTCTCCAGTCAGCAACTCATATTCCCAGCACTCCAGAAGTCGAGACACCCCATGCGCCAGCCACCTCCCAGCCTGATTGTCAGCACCGGGGTGTGGCTTTTGGCGTGGTCTAGGGGAGCCAACCTACAGCCAAGGGTCCGGGCACCTGCCAGCTTAGGCTCCTTGAGGCAAAAATGAGTCCAAAGCCACCTACACTAGACCAGAGAGGGGAAGGAACCTGCCTACGGTCACACAGTAAAACAGTGACTCTAGGAGTGGACCGAAGATCAGATAGTTTGAGGCATTTCTCACTAAACATACAATGTCCTCTGCTTCCAAGCCTGGGGCTAAAAGAGCAGGGGTGGGGGAGGATAGCCCTGCAGAGTGAGTCTCTTAACGGTGAGGAAGGACTAAGCCCAGAAGGGCGATGGGAACTTTTTTTCCCTCTCCCAGTGTGTTTTCCTGTCAGTTTACAGAGAACTCAGTTTGAGAGGAGACTGGAAAACCCGAGGTCACACTCGACTCCCGCTTCGCCTCGCGGGCGCCTTGGCGGAGTCGGTGTCCGGGGGCGGGTCGGTGGCTTCTCTCCATCTGGAGAAAGCATTAAGGCCTGGCTTAATGCGATCCGCAAATGTGCTGCTGTTTCCGACCTGAGGCGGCAACTCTGGGACGAAAAGAGGCGGCCAGGGCCGGGCCCGGGACCACGCGCCCCTCTCAGCTGGCTCGCACACTCCAACGCCCGCCACCCTCACGCCTCCTATTCCTGGCGTGCGTCTCGCCTGGGTCCTCTGCGCTCCAGGCGTGAGAGCTTCAGTAACCAACCCACAGGACCTTCGGACACTCCAGACTGCGATCAACCCGCAGTCCACTGACCCTGCAGGGTGTCCCGTCAACGAGAGCGCCCTTCGCTCGCTGAGGACCCGGGAAGGTTCTGCCCAAAGTTTCCGGACCCGGTGGCGTGCGCCTACCCGGACCTATCTAAGTCCCATAGATTGCTCAGGTTGTGAAGCCCCGCATAGGACCAGCAGAGGACCCTACTTGCCAGTGTCATTCCCATCAATTTGTTCAGCCTTACCATCCTAGGAGAGACCTGTCCCTGGATCTCCGAGGGTGTCCCTTCTCCCAACCCGGCGCCGCAGCAGCGTCTCTGGGTGCCGCGGCGGGGATGCGCGATGCCGAGGCAGAGATGAGCAGTACCAACTCGGCGACACCTCGTGCGCAGCGCGGGATCCCGATGGTCCCCGACGCCGGCCTCCAGCCCGCGCCGCCGCCAAAGTTAAATGGGGCTGGGACGCGGCCGCCCCGCCTGTCCCGCCCCTCCGGGCGCGCGGAGCGCAGGGCTGGCCCTGGCCCAGAGGCGGAGGGCGCGCGCCGCCACCTGCGCCGTCTGTCCCGCAAGTGCGCGTCGCGCCCCGCGGCCGGTCGGTCCGTGCCCGCTCTTCGTCCTCCGCTCAAACCCCCGGTCGCTGGGAACGCGAGGACCAGCGGGGCAGAGGGGCAGCGGAGCCGCAGCCGGGCGGCTCGGTTCGCGCGGAGCCGCGGCGGCCACGGCGAGACTCGGCTGGAACGCTTCTCCGCCCGCTTCCTGGAAGCCACTCCTCGCCCTGGGCCTGCAGCCAGGCCTGGTGCCAGGAGCCCCGGCTGCCGCCGCCGCCGGCAGCGCGCTGGGGAGAGGCAGCGGCTGTGCCTCGGGCCAGCAGGGCCAGCCGGGCCCGTGCAAGGATGCCATCCCCTCCCACCTCCGCTGCCTGGCCCGGGCGCCTCCTCTGCTAAGTCGTGCCCCGCGAAGGACTGCCTGAAGACACTGGCTCGTGCTGGGAGCCTTTAGGAGCTTGACCAAGACCCGTCAGCAAGCTTTGCAATCCAGGGACTTTCGACTGCAGGGGACCCTGGGTGACCCAGCAGGAGCACCTAAACCTGCTAACTGAAGCCCAGGTTATGAAACTGGTTTGGGTGACCCCGAACTCCAGACCTGTTCGAAAATAAATTCAGCACCAGAGCCTAGGGTTTGGAATGAAGGCATCTCAGTCGGGAATGGAGGCAGGGTTGAGGGTGCCTTGGGTACTTTTGAAGGGAAGACACGCAAGGGCCTCGGCTTCATCCCAACAACAGGAGCCAAGGGTCAGGGTGTTCCTTTTAAGGTCTGCAGTGTTGTGCTACCACCCTTAGGTCCCTTGAGTGATGCTATTCTGCCAAGCAGTGTGTGTGCAGCCAGCCATCCCCAAAGTGTTATCCTAATTCCTGAGGGAATAGCTTGCCCTCGGTGATCAGAGAGGCCAGGTCGGGAACTGGTACCCACTTCTCTCAGGAGTCTGAAACATTTGCATCCAAAGTTGCTCTTTTGACCGCTGGACTGTTGGTGCTTCCAGTGGTCACAAGCATTGCCAAGAGGTCCCCTACCTGTCCTCCTCACCCTTTCTTCCCTTTCCCAGTCAGATGGCTTCCTCTAACCAGAGGAACCTCGGGTGTCCCTTCACTTCAGGCAGGAAAGGGCTTGAAATCCTAGGGAAAATGAGCAGGTGGCAGCGGATGGGGAGAGATTCAGGAGGAGCCAAGAGGAGAGGAGAGAGCTAACTGTGACTAACTCACCTACAGACGAGTCAGTCTCTCTGTTCACCCCACTTTAGCTCTGGAACGTGGGGCAAACAATGCATTTATGGCTGTTACTGTGGTGGGTAAGATAGGATCAGGTTCCCATGAGCCTCTGGTCACATTTTGTCAGCCAGTTGGCACACGGCCTTATTCTGTAGACATTTCTGTGTTAAGACACCATAACACACATTCATACGTTCACACTGAGCTGAGGGCCCCAGCACCTGTCCCTCCCCTGACAGGGACTGCTCTCTATTCAACCGCGAGTCACAGCCACTTGGGCCTTGGGGACACACAGACAGCACTCTGTCCAAGGGTGGCTTAAAACAGAGAAGGCGCAAACAAGAAAATGTTGCGAAGAGGACTTTTTAGGATAACGGTGTACACAGGGAGAGCTGAAGCAGACACAGGAAAGGGCATGGGCTTGTGGGACCTTCATGGTGAATGTGCACACCGGTGAACTCACAACCTTCACTGGTCTTCAGATGGCTTCAAAAATGCCGTGTGCATTGGTTATAGGGTGACGGGTGAGTTTTCTAGAAAGACATCGCGGATGAGAAGGCTCCATGGTTGCTCATCTATGTCAGTGAGTCAGTAGAGGAACAGCTGCGTTTGCATTTCAGAACATCTATGACATGCCACGCGGTGGCGGGAATGAGAATGACCACCATCAGATCATACATTTGAATTCTTAGTCCCCAGCGGATAAATGGTTGGTGAAGGATGAGGAGGTGTGGCCATGTTGGAGGAAGTGAGTCGAGTTGCTGGGGATGGGCTCAGAGGTGTCAGAAGACCCGTTTTATGCCCAGGCTCTGTCTGCCTGCTGCCCTTACATCAGCATGTAAAGCCCTCAGCTACTGCTCCAACACCAGGCCTGCCTGCCGCTGCCACCCTCCCCACCTTGATAACACACTAACCCTCTCAAACTATAAGCAAGCCCCAATTAAATGCTTTTTTTTCCCTAACAGTTGCTTTGGCCATGTTGTCTCTTCACAGCAATTAAACGGTAACGAGGACACGACAGGACCTGTTCTAGGCATTCGACAGGTATTACTGATTCAGCCACCAGGGTAGCTTATCGGGTGGCGTATTGCTTTGACCTGGTATAAAACACTTAAGAGATTTCTTTTGCCTCGCAGTTTCAAAGGCACCAGTTTATTGCGGCAGGGCAGACATGGTGGGACAGAGCGCAGTTCACATCTTGGTGGCCAGAACGCAGAGGAAAGGAAAGGGACCTGAGACCTGCCAAACGGTCTTCAAAATAACAGCCTCAGTAACCTCCCTCCTCCAGGTAAGACTCCACTCTCCTAAGTCTCTACCACCTACCAAAACAGCACCATGGGCTGGGCAGCAAGCGCCCGGTGCAGGAGCCTGTGGGGAGTGTTTCACATTCAAAAGGCAACAAGTTAATGTTTTTATTCCTGTTTTACAAATGAGGCCCCAGAGTAAAAAGATTTAAGCACCATATGTTGTTAGCGACTAGACCGATCTCTCAAACCATACGCCTTCTAAACACTTCCACGCCTTCAAGTATCATGGAAGCCACTGGAAAACTCGCATGCATATTCAAGGAGAAATGGAGAATTCAAAGAACTATTGTGTGTAAGCCTTGGCAGCTGCATCAAGCTCGACTCCCTGTGTGTGCAACCGAGCAAGGCCTGAGGATGCCTCCCGAGATGGGGACATTGCTGGGAAGGTTTAGTGGCTCTGCTCTTAGATATTGATGTCTCCACAGAACTTCCTGTCTCCTTTTCCCTGAGGCGTTTTTGATTCCTGGGTCGGCCTCCAAGGAACGCCTCACACTGCAAACTGGGGCCAGAACAGGCTTTATTTCTTCGGGTCCCATCTAGAGTCAGGCTGTCCCTGCAGAGTTGACTGAGGGAGAAAACCAGAAAAATATACCACCCTCACTGTTACGGAAGTTACGCCACTCTGGTAATCCTAGCATGTTGAACCATCTCTTATGGGTGACTGAGGCGCTGTGAATTAGGATTACAAAGGGTTATAAAGAGCAGACTCCACCTCTCTGCACCTCAGAGATGTCCCAATGTGACAGTTAACCTTAACGGTCACCTTGAGTGGATTCACAACCACTGAGGACATTATAAAGCACATGTCTGGCGTCATGTTTCGGGATGTCTAGATCCATCCTGATGTGTCTGCCCTAATGAATGCATTGGTCCCTTGATGGATTCATAATACAAATGCATAACTGGAGGTGTTAAAAGGTAGGGGTTGGACCGACCTACTTAGAGGAAATAGACTACTGGGGGGGTGTCTTTAGAGGCTCTGGCTTCCCCTGGACCCTTCCTGTGTTCCCTTTCTTTGCTTCCTGGCTGCTGTGGTGTGGACTGTTCTGTTTTCTCACGCCCCTCCCACCATGACAGAGTGTGGAAATCCCAGGGTGTTGGACACACTAGAATCTGAGACCTTCGCCAGGGAGAGCTACAGGTAGGAAGTGCAATCAGATAGAGGGGGCATGGATCACAAACAGCAAAGCTGGAGGGATGGGGCCCTCTGAAGCCATTTAAAACTGAAGCCCCAGATACTGGACATCGAGCTGTAGGATTTGAGTATTTACCTGCTGGGTTTGGGGCTTCTTTAGAATAGTAATTTTTATTGTGTGCTCTTATATGTTGAACGTTTGTAATGGCTTTTTATTTGGGGGGGGTGGCAGGGTGTCACAGTTAAGAGACATTGGAACTGTGTTGAGATTATTAAAGACTATGAGAACTTCTGGAGTTATACGAAATGCATTTTGCTTCATGAAAAGGTCATGGGGTTATGAGGGCCAACAAGCTGGATGTGGTGGTTTAATGAGAAATGTCTCCCATCGGCTCACGTATTTGGACATGTGGTCCCCAGCTGGTGGGGCTGTTTGGGGAGATTATGGAACTTTCAGGAAGCACATCGCTGGCAAGTGACTTGAGGGCTTATAACCCCCCCCACACACACACATTCTACCTCTGCTTCCGGTGTGTTTGTACAAATGTGATCACCCAGATTTCTGCTCTTGCACCACGCCACACCTTCCCCACTGTTGTGGACTCTCCCTCCAGAACAGAAGACTGAAATAAACCCTTTCTTCAGTAAGTTGCTTTGGTAGAGGTTCATCGCAGCAGCAGAGAGGTTCCACTTGCCGCACACCCTTACTCTTAGTTTTGCTCTTTGCCTGCACTCTAACCCCATGGAATTCCTGGGGGGGCGAGGGGGTGGGCAGTCCTTAAAGGCACAGAGTCCACAATATTGAGTCAGGAGTTTAGGACTTTGAAGGCACTGCCGCTCGGGGAGTATGAGATCGTCAGAACCTCTGTCAAGAGAGTGAGGGAGACGATGGACAGAGTTCCAAGTCTTCCAGGTAGGAGAGTACAAGGGAAGCTAGGACCCCATAATGTTTTCTGAAGGATGAAGCTAGGTTTGGTAGCCCTTCCAAGACCAGGAGATTCTGTAAGCCATGCCCCCAAAGGCTGACTTCTTCTGGCTTCTGGGGCTAGGAAGATGCTGGCCTGGCTCAGAGGTGTGCTTGCACCTCACACCTTGAAAACGCTATACATGTACACAACACAGGTCCTCAGAGACTCTGCTGTGGACTG